TGGTTTTTCCCTTACTCTAATGAGAGTATATTTTCCACGGGTAATAGTGACAAGAATGCAAATTAACATAGTAGAAAATGTTTTTCCTTTATTGCAGTTCGACTATGTTCAACCCATTTGAATGAAAAATGCCACGAAAATATATTAAAAAATAGAGCCATTATGACAATCTCTGTCTATTTTGATATTGTTCCATGAAAGAATGCAACAGAGTTGATGGAATCAGAGCATCCCAGTAAAATTGCACAGGCCGAGCAACGAATCACTCGTACTAACAGCTTAAAATTGCAATTTTCACCTTAAAAGAAGCAAAAGAAAAAATAAAAAGCGAGCCCACCAAGTGAAGAGCCGAGCCCAACTTTCTCGGTACGAATCCTTGAGGTCGACCCGTCCCAATTAATGTCTCTATTCCTCTTCCATTACCGTTGAAAAAGGCCACGGACATAAACGTCCAGATTCAGCTTGGCAAGTGAACAAAACCAGAGTCCGAAATCAAAATCGCTGAACTAGAAACGCGATTTTTGTTAGAAAATCGTAGATGCAAATGTAATTTGGCGTTAAAACGGGACAAAGCGGCCGAAATTTTTTCTCGGCAGCCATTTTCTCCCTCCCGTCACTCAAAAATGCGCAGCAAGGACAAGATCGCTTACTTTTATGACGGTTCGCTACCCTACCGTTCTTTCCGTTTCTCGTCAATTTTCTTGTGTATTCGAAACGGCAACTGTACTAACTGTAGAGAAATGATATTGCAGGGGATGTGGGGAACGTGTACTTTGGGCCGAGTCACCCGATGAAACCGCACAGGTTATGTATGACTCACCACTTGGTTCTCTCTTATGAGCTACACAACAAGATGGAAATTTATGTTCGTGATTTTCCTTTGTTTTGATTAATTTTTCGAATTTTTTTAACTGTTTGCGGATTTTTTATTTTTTATTTTTGTGGCTTCCTTTAATGATTTTGTGGAATTTAGAGGCCCCATAAGGCATACCCAGTGGAGCTAGCGCAGTTCCATTCTGCGGATTATGTGGAATTTTTAAATCGAATAACGCCAGACACGCAGGCTTTGTTCGCGAATGAGATGGTGAAATGTAAGGAGTAACTAAGTTTATGTTCTTTTGTTTGTGATGAGTGTGGAAAAGCATTTTATTATCCTAGGTTATGAAGGAATTTAATTTTGTTATTCTCTGACAACTTTATAAAGTTGAATTTAGTGTTTTAAAGATGAATGATGCTGAAAAATGGAGATATTTATATCAGTGGGAGTCTTTCACTGATTTAACACTGGACTTTATAAGCAATTTTATTAATTTTTGATAATCATTGAATGCTTTTCGATGTTTGTAGTACTATAGATTAGTTGATGATATATAGTTTCCCTACGAGGCTTGTATTATTAGAAACCAAATGTAATTTACTAA